TTTTTGGTCTTTTCTGAGACAGGGTCTCGCTATGCAGTTCAGGCTGGCCTTGAGCTTACTTTGTAGCCCAGGCTGGTCTCAAACTGGCAACAACCCTTCTGCCTCAGCCTCCCAAGTGCTGGGATTACAGGTGTGTGCCACCACACCCAGCTTTTTTTTGTCTTTTTGAGACAGGGTCTTGCTATGCAGTTCAGGCTGGCTTTGAGCTCACCTTGTAGCCCAGGCTGGTCTCAAACTCACAAGGATCCTCCTGCCTCAGCCTCCTGAGTGCTGGGATTACAGGCATGCGCCACCATGTCTGGCTCAAGTACTCTATTAGGTACTGAGAGTATCCCCTCTTTATTGCTACTCGTGAGTGTATTTACCAGGATACTGCAATACTGAGGTTGGTTGAGACATAGGCTGGGTATAATGGCACACACCTGTAATCCCAGCACTCAGAAGGCTAAGGCAGGAGGACTGCTTTGAGTTCAAGGCCAGCCTGAACTGCACCATGAAACCCTGTCTCAAAAAAACAAAAAAAAAAAACCTGCAAAATAAAAAAAGACTTGTCTTTTACTGACAGGTGGGACAGTGCTAAAAGAATAGTAGTACGTTGCCTTGAAGTGCTGTATCACTCGTTTAACCTGGACTTGAGAAGAAGGGAGGACCTGGTGATTTCTCAGGCGCCCACAGCAATAAATGCCTTCTCAAGCCTAATTCAGGCGTCCCCTGGCTCTTGCACTCCCTGACACCAAGTCAAGCTAAAAAAGCAAAACGCTGTGCTCCTCCGTGCCCACTAGGCTCTCCCTGAGCTCCTCCCCACTGCTGGCTCCCCTGCCACTGTCTCTGGCTTCAAAGCAAGCATGTAACACACGGAAGCCTGGAGAGTCTCGCTTTTTAAAAATGAAGTCACCTTTTTTAACTTGCCCTTTTGTAGATTTTTTCCTATAGGTTCAAAATTTTTAATAAATTTGTGCCCTATATTGGCTTATCTAGAAGCTAAAAAAAAGAAAACCCCAATAAATACAGAAGCAGAATCTGCACAGCCAAAGGAGGGAGGGCTTGGGGCACCCCTGTACCTGTGACCTGCTGTTCTGTTCTTCCGGAAAGTCCAGCATGTCCTGCATCTCCAGGGGCGACTCCTCTGCAAGCAAAAGGACAGCGACAGTGAGGTGCGCACGGCAGCACAGGCCCCGTGCCAGGACAGCATGGCACTCCCCGCGAAGGTTCCCAGCCGCTGGACATGATCTCCCTCCGGCCCACAGAAGCCAGTAGGCGGCACAACTCAGCGACTTCCAGAGAGCCAGGCACAAACTGTCTCCACACCAGTGGGAAAACCAGAGCCAGGAAGACGCATAATTTTATATTCTTCAGGTCTCCAAGTGGAGACTTGTGTGAGATATTCATTAATGGAACGATTAGTGCAGGATGAATGACTGATTCAAACACCAACGTGCCCTTCAGGCCTCGGCTCAAGCAGGCACGCGCTGAGGCAGAGCGGTGGTGTGGACATCGCCAAGGGCTCGTCCTCGCTGACCCAAAATGAACCGCACACACAGACAAAGAGCCCGGTGAGAGCATAACACGCACAGACAACAGTAATGCCACGAGGTGACGGCGCTCCTGGAATTTTAAATTTTCCTCTGAATGCGTCGTCAGTCTCATGAGTGTGTATAATTTTATAATCAGAAGATGTGATTAATCAGAGTTTTGTAGAGCCCCTTTAGCGTTCCTTCCGCGTGAGGGACAGGGACAGGGACAGGGGCAGGGACGGGGCAGGGACGGGGCAGGGACGGGGCAGGGACAGGAACTGCTCACACTCAGCCAAGCAGCTCTGACCAGCAGAAGAGAGAGAGAGTGATTAATCACAGAAGTTCTGAAAAATTTTCCAAATGTAACAGCACAGGTCCAAGGGAGAGGAAGGCACCGTGAGAGGAGAGACTTTTCACCACCAGCTCTGCACTTATCCCAGATGTGCCTGCCCGGGGCAGCAGGGGCTGTGGCTTGGTGACTTTTCTGCCTTTCTGGAGAAGGACGACTACAAGTCACTCTCAGCCTGCTGGGGGGACCTAGCGGAAGGTCGCGGGAAGGGCGAGAGGGCGGCAGAGTGTGGCAGCAGAGTATCTCGAGAACCCAAGCATTACCCTTTGAAAACTCTTCTGGATTTTGTCCGAGACTCATTCTCCTCTCTGAATTAAAAAGAGAAAAACCCAGCACGTGAGAACAGCGAAGCCCTGCCGGCTGAGTCCCGCCCCCGCTGCCGCGCGTCCCCACCTCCGTGCAGTTCCTCGTACTCCCTGATCTTCGTCAGCAGGCTCTTGTTGACCTGGTCACAGATCATTTTCAGGGTGTCCAAGTTGTCCTTCCCGAGGATGGCCCTCTTCTCCATCTCAATGAAGATATCCAGCAAGCTCTGGGGAGGGGAAGCAGCGGGAAACCCGGACTGGGCCACATTCGCTCTTAGAGGAGATGCTTTTACTTCCTTTCCCCAAGCCAAGGCCCACTGCACTTCTAAGAGACCCCTGCCCATCGCCTTCCTGGGGCAGAGGGGAGAGGTGGGAGGCGGCCAGGTGCCTCCTGGCCCCCAAACAAGTAAGAGGTAGAGAAGCCACGTCAGGTGTCACTGGGCAGGTCCCCACATCGTAGACAGCTAAGGTGGTGGAAACACTGTGGCAGTCAGACACGCTGGGCCCTCGAGGGCAAGGCAGAAGACAACTGCGGCTGGAGGCGCATTCGCTGAATGCCAGGCTTCAAGAAAAAGAGGAACTGCTCAACTGTGTGCCTCCCCTGGGGTGAACAGCAGTGACTGATACTCTAAGTAGGCGTCCGTCACCTTGGGGAGGGGCCCAAACCTCCTTAGCCCACCCTTCCAGAAACGTCCTTGTCTGCCCATGTGCGCTTGCTACGTGACCTATTTCCCCATTGATCCCATTTTAATCAACATTACCAAGTGACTATACTTGTTATATTCTTATTGGTTGACCATAGTTTTATCCCACTTCACACCCACGCTCTGACTTGCCATTGGTTCAATATTACCTAAGCGACTCTTGTGATCTTAGTGATTGGTTATAGTTGTGTCCCACCTTAACCCACCTCACCTCGTGGCTTCGCTCAATAAAACACCCTTGAGAAGTGGGCCCACTTTCTGGGCCCCTCTGTTCCTCTTAGAAGCTTTCTTTCTCTCAATAAATTCTTCCTGCTCTTAACCTCCATTGTTCCTGCAATTCATTCCTTGATTTTAGAGAACACGAACTCGGCGTCCCGGACTCCTCACAGGTTGGAAGCTTCATGCCCCTGTATCCCGGGCCCAGCACTGACTGTCTATGGACACTTCATTCATGAACCAGCCCACGTGTGTGGCTGAGTCACCATGCAGACGTCCTGGGACTGCCCTGCACCCCAACACAGTCTGACCCCCATCCACCTCCAGACCTCAATTCACTCACACACCAGACACATTGGACACACCCCCACACAGAAACACGGACAAAGACACACACAGGTGCAGATACATGTTGGGCACCGTAAATTATAAACTGACATGGAATCGGCCTCCTTGCCTGCCTAGTAGCCTTGTTCTGGAGTGCAGAAACCCACTTCCTCTCCATCAGTGAGGTTCACAGCGCGGGATGAAGTCTGCTGAGGAAAAGACAGGGAAACTACCCAAGTGCAAGGATGAGTCTTAACTCGCTTCCTCTGTGACGTTAAACTCCCCATCCAACCACTGCTCCTACGCTGTGCCAGGGAAAGGACCACCCTCCCCCGGCACGGGGTACGTCAGTGGCGGCTAGCTGGGATCCCAGGGGTTTGTTCCCAAAGACCACTGGTCACCCCAGCACCCTACTTTCTCAGAATTCTTGTCTCCTTTTCTTTTTCTTTCCCGCTGTGCACCGTAACTCTGGGTAGGAGACTAGGGACTCACTGCAGGGTCCCTGATAACTGGCACCCTGGAAAGGGTCTCTGGCAGATTTGCACACCACATGCAGTGTATACCATACATATGCAGAAGACGCATAAGGACAACACATAACACAGAGAGAGGCCACATAACACGATGCAGAAAAACACACAAAGACGTACACCACACGCATGCGGAGCTGTCTCCAGCACGTGGGTGAGGAAGCGCCCCAGGCCACCACCCTTTCTGCCCGACTCCCACACAGCTGAGCTGCCGTCACCTGCTCCTGCGTCCCTCACCCCACCTTTCAAGAGCACCTGGCCCACAGCGCGGCCCCTCTCCGGCCTCAGGAATCCCGGGCCGGCCAGCCTTCAGAACGAAATCTGGAGGGATGTGGGGTCTTACCATGTTGTCGTCCAGCTTAGACTTGGAGATCTCGTTGTTCAACAGAAATTTAAAATGCCTCAACTCAGGTCTGGTTACGTCATCTGCAACCCGAAGGAGCAGAACCCTGTGTGAAGACAGAGACGCTCTGCAGTGCCGCTGCCTCCCGCCCTCCGCCTGCCTGAGCACAGCGGCGCTGACCCGGGCCTCCCTCCTTGGCAGAGCCAGTCACAGAACAGACGTAGGCACGGAGCTCCTGGGAAGAGGCCGGCAGGTGACACCGGAGTCCACAGCCTTGTGCCCAAGTGGCCCACCCTGAGCAGTTTAAATCCCACCCCACCTTTCAGGTAATTTCACTGAAGTGAATCTGACTTTTCCTCTTTCATTGTAAAATCAAGATCTACGGTAACAGAAGAAAGATTTGGCTTTTGGAAATTACGTTCTCCACAGTGCAAGCTAGGTCAGGCCAGACAGTGGTTTAGGGACCCAGACAGTAAACACCAGTGCTGCAGCCTCAGAGTCCAGCACCAAAGCCCGATGCCCCTTGCATGCCAGCCGCCCTCCCGGTCCTCTGCCCATGCAGCGTCACCTGAGTGTCCCCGGGGCACCCCTCACGGTGCCTTCTCATATTCTCCCTGCACGGACAGTTCACACTTCCTAACCCTCTGTGCACGGAGCTGCCCAGGCTCCTGCTAGCCGGCCCAGGCCTGTCCTGCCTTCGTGAGCCCTGAGGTGGGTGTTGGAGTGCAGGGGACCCAGTGCCAGAGGACCCTGGTGCCACACTCTGTCCTACCATCTCTGCGCTGTGTGACCTTAGACGTGTTATACTTTTCTCCTCATCTGGTGATGAGAGATAACTTCATAGCTGTATCACAGGAGGTGGGTGTCAAGCACACCTTGGAGAAGTTTCTGTGAAGTCAGCTACTTCGCGGTAGAGACACATTCTGAGGATGTGTTGTTCGGCCATTTCTTCTTTTTGCAAGCATAACATGTCCTGACATAAACCGAGACTGCTCCGATGTCACCAGGCAGTACAGTCTATGGGGCCACTCCCTAAATGCCTGGCGCATGACGAATAACCTGACTGCACCTGGGCCAGTCTCGGTGACACACTGAGTGTTCAACAAGCGATAGGCCTTACTACTTCCTGACCTATGCCTGGCACATGCGGGCTCCTGGAATACGCTTGCTGAAGGGCGAACAAAGTACTAGTTTATAAGTCAGCAAACCTTTCAATACTATGGCATGAAGGAAAATAACTTTGATACAAAAACATGTTTACTTTGAAACCGAATATAAAAATTAAAATTCTGAGCAGGCATAGTGGCACACACCTGTAATCTCAGCACTCAGGAGGCTGAGGCAGAAAATCTCCATGAGTTCAAGGCTAGCCTGGGTTACATAGTGAGTTCAAGGCCAGCCTAAGCTATAAAGCGAGACCCTGTCTGAAAAAAAAAATTCTGGGGGCTGGGGATTTAGCTCAGTGGCACAGCACCTGCCTGGCAAGCGCAAGGTCGCGAGTTTGATTCCTGGTTCTGGGAAAAAACAAAAAAAACAAAACAAAACAAAATTCTGAAAATAAAAATAGAAACAGAAGGTACTCAGTATAATCATCTGTCTCCTCAAAAAGTGTCTATCCTAGAATATTTCTCTAAAGCTCTCTCAATCTGGCACAAGATTAAATCCAACCAAATGTTCTATGACTATTAACTTTATTCTTTAAAGCACTCTACTTTCTTTATTACTGAAATCTACAGGCTTTCTTGCCCAGTAATAAACTTGGATTGTCTATAAGATACTTATATTATAGGCAGCAATTATAATTTTTTCTTCTTTTTTTTGGTCTTTTTGAGACAGGGTCTCACTATGCAGATCAGGGTGGCCTTGAACTCACTTTGTAGCCCAGGCTGGTCTCGAACTTGCAACGAGCCTCCTGCCTCAGCCTCCCGAGTGCTGGGATTACAGGGGTGCACCACCACACCTGACTAGCAATTTTAATTTGAAAGTAAAACACCTAGTGTTTGCTTATCCTGGTAAGTGGACACACTCGCATATTTCTTGTCACCTGGCTAATGTTCAGCAACAGTGAACAAGCAGTAGATGGTGACAGTGCCGAGCCTTTGTAAGATTTTTATTTTTATTAGTTCTGTTTGCCATGTATGATGACTGCCTTCCCCGTGGAGAGCCAGGGCGTGGGCACAGCGTAATTCCCGTCCCTCCTTCCCGTCCCTCCTTCTCTCTCTTGGTCCACTTAACCGGCTGCAAAAGGTTCGTGCCCCTGCTTCCTGCCGTCTGTCTTTTATTTTGCCTTTAATGTATTTATACTTTGGGTTTCTCACATAAGAGAAACCACACAATACTGGAGTTTGTGCGACTGACTTATCACTCAGCACGGTCTCCAGGTGCATCCATTTTCCTACAGAGGACTCCAGCATGTCCTGAGGCGGAGCAGAGCCCCTTTACCCACTCACCGGATGAGCATTTTTGGTGTCAGTACCACGCCTCCTTTACCCACTCACCGGATGAGCACGCAGGCCACTTCCAAGGCTCAGCTTTGATGAGCTGGGCTGCTACAAGCGTGGGTGTGCCTGACTCGCTGTAACGTGATACCTCCGAGAGGACCAGCTGGGCCGAAAGGGGTGTCCAGCGGTAGTCTCTCGATTTCCATGCTGATTTCCACAGTGCTTGCACGAGTTTTCGTTCCCACTGACAGTGCGGAAGGGACTCTTCCACCCCACAGCTCATCTGGGCTGACCCTTTTGTGTCCAAGCCAAGTGGTGAGTGTAGCAGACAGACCTGCCCTGCCCTGCTCTGCCCCGGAAGGTGTGCTGATGCCGGCACAGTGGTCTGCTCAGCCAGGCTCGCACGCAGAGTGAAGTCTGCACAGCGCCAAGATGGCGGCGTAAGACGAGAGCCCCCGTCCCCAGGCTGCCCTGTTTCTGGGGCTATTTCCCTCAGAATGAATTGGTGTCTCTTTTTTTTTTGGTACCAGGAATCAAACTTAGGACCTTGTGCTTGTCAGGCAGGCCCCGTGCCGCTGAGCTATACACCGGGCATGAGTTGGTGTTTTAATGAGTAAGCTCCCATGAAGACTTCACACTTCCAGGAAACCAAAGCCCAGCGCTCTCCAGAATCTGCGTACTGGGGTCCCCCCTCCCAGACCTGCAGTTGTGACGCATTTGGAAAAAGAGTCTTTGCAGATAAAATTTCATCATGTCACACTGGTTTAGGGTGGGCCCCAGGGGAAGAGGGAAATTCAGTCAGACGCAGAAAGGAGGCTGAGGCTGGAGGGATGGGCCCGGGAGCACCAAGGACCGCAGCCCAGAGCCAGCGTGGGCACAACCTCCCTCCGAGCCTCCCCAGGGTCCCGCTGGCACCTGGATCTCTGAATCTGAGCCCCAGAACTGTGGGAGAATAAACTTCCCCACTGCTGAAGCCGCCCAGTGTGGCACTCTGCTACAGCAGCTCGAGGGAACCAGCGCCCCAGAATACTTGTCACGGAAGTCCGCTCATGGCCGGCCATGCCAGAGCCTCGGCCCCACTGGGGCCGCACCACAGGTGGGCATCGGAGAACAGTGGCTGCCCCCGTGGTGAGGCCCCTCGTGGCACTTGCCACGGTGACCATGACATGGCCAGGGCTGCGGGTGAGGGAGAGAGCTCCTGAAAGATAACCCTAAAAATTACTTGAAGGAGTCCGAAGGATGGACATTAAGGAGAGAAGGTGACAGGCTTGTCACGGACCACGAACCTGTCACTGCCCGTGGCCTCTTATCACAGCCCACGGTGCCACAGTGCTGGGGCGGTGGGGGCGCTGAGCTGCTGGCCCGGGGGGCCTGGGAGGCAGCCTGTGGCCGTGCGGGAGCGGAACAGGCCCTGCGCGCCCCCTGCACAGCAGCAGCGGAGCTGGGGCTCTGAGCGCAGACTGAGACCTCCACGGCCTCCCCCGCGCCAGGCCTGCGGGTGGGAGGCGGAGACCCCACACAGGGGCGGGCAGGGTGCGCCCCGGAAGAGAGGGCGGAGGGCGGGGCAGCAAACGAGAGCACTTAGGAAAACCGCTCCAATCTCAGCGTACCAGTGAGCCAGGTTTCAGTTGGAAAAATAAATTTTACCTTAGGGCTCTATCGTTTTTTCTCTGCATTGCACAGAAGGCCCCATGACTCAGCCCTGGCGGGCACCACACACAGCCCCAGTCACCAGGCCCCGGGCCGCGCCCCTCGGCCCTGCGGCTCTGGCCCAAGAGGAGCCGCTACTCACCTGTATGCCGAGATCTGGGCCTTGCCGGGGCTCTGGAGCACCCACTCCATCTCCGCCCTGCTGGTGTTCAGGTAGGCGCCCAGCAGGTCCAGCCTGTTGATTCGGAAAAGCAGCTCCTTCAGGAAGGACAGGTTGTCTTCCTCCAGCACCCGCTTCTCCTGAAGTCTCTGGAACAACATGCAGGCGTCCAAGATGGGCTCCTGCTTCCGCTGTGGGATGTGGTCCTGGCTCAGGAACTTGAGGGAGGCCAGCTCCTCACTGTCCAGCTGTTCCCCGATATTGTAAAGGAGCGTGCTGAAATCCATGCCTCTCAGAGGCAGCAGGGCAGCGTTGAGACCTAGGCCAAAATGCAATGCTGTGTTCAGGTGAGGAGGAAAAGTGCCGCCCACTGGCTTGTCCTTCATCAAATGGGGCTGTGTCTACCACACGCTGTGGGTCAGGAAGAACTCAGGGAGGCAGACGTGCAAAGGCCACCGCCAGAGTCGGCACCAGGGACAGACAGCAGGCAGCCCTGACTCAGCCTGGGTCAGGACTTCCTGGAGGGAAGGCACCTGGGGCAGACAGGACAATGCTCAAAGGAAAAATTTTTCAAAAGATGGAAGTGAGGCCGGGTGCGGTGGCGCATGCCTGTAATCTAGCACTCAGGAGGCTGAGGCAGGAGGATCACTGCAAGTTTGAGGCCAGCCTGAAATGCATAGTGAGATCCTGGCTCAAAAAAATGAAACAATTAAAAAGGTGAGGTGAGAACTTCACGGACAACTCAGACAGGCACCAAGCATTCAGAGCAGTAAGCACCAAAGTCTGGGTTGGACGGGGGGACTAGATGAAGATGTAGCCAGGAACCAATCACCAGGGCCTCACACTTGGGGGCAGGGCCTAGGCTTCATCCAGAGGCGATGGGGAACAACGAGAAGCTGTAAAGCGAGAGCAGTACCAGAGATTCAGGATCAACCTCAAAGGGGGGTGAAGGCTTGGAGAGCTGGCGGCAGGGGGACCCCCAGGACTGCAGGGAGTGGCGTGCGGTGCTGGCGGGCAGGCATGGCGGGTCTGACTGGAACCAGGGTGGTGGGAGGCCCGGGCCACGCCTGCCATGAAGGTCTCAGGACCTGTGCTGGGAGCTAGTGTGGAAGGCCAGGTGGGAAATGAACCGGCCACACGGTCTCCAAGTCAGGCTACTCTCCCCTGCGCCCCTGTTCAACCAGGAGAGGGTCGTGCCCCAGGAACCCCTTCAAGAGCAGCCTGGATCCTGAGCCCTTAGGCTTGGCAGCCTCAGCAGGCTCCTCTTCCGCCCGCCTGCACACCCGCTGTGCCCACAGTGGACGGAGCCGAGTTTGCACTGCAGCCTGGTGGACAGGAGCCCGACTCTGCACAGGTCAGCACGCTGTGACACCGGCCGTCCTGCCTTGGGCAGCTCGTGTCCACAAAGCACCTGCTCCTGCTCCGTGAAGCGTGTCAGAACACCCATCTCTACAGGTGCTGCGGATCTGCACAGTACCTGCCGTAGTGAATTCGGGGTGATGCCCAGCAGCTGGTGTGTGCCTGACGAAGCCAGGCTGTGCAACCCGGGCTCTCCTCTCCCGCTCCCACCACCCAGGGCCCTGGTGGCACTCGGGCTCGGCCCCCTCCAGAGGGGACCCAGGGCAGCGCCTGTGGGAGAACCTTGAACCAGAAAACCTCCACGTTCCTGCCAGCTCCATCCTTTCTGTGCTGACCCAGGCCTGCCTCCTTGCTCAGACACACTTTCCGAAGGGAGAACACTGGTTGGCACCTTGCTCAACCCTAAGTAACCTTAGCCCTGGGCCTGTTCCTTCCCTGCATCGCGGTGCATCGGTGCCTCAGTCTTCAAGCTGCCTGCATTCTCAGAGATTCATGGACCAAAACACCCACCCTGACCCTACTGCTCACAGGCTCACAGACTGACCGTGTAATCCCAGACCCATGTGTTTTCTACATCTGGTAGTTAAAAAAAAAAACTTTTCATTTTCACCTCAGAATAAGTGTAGCCCAGTGTGGTAGTACACACCTGTAATCCCAGCACTTGGGAGGCTGAGGCAGGAGGATGATCATGAGTTCAAGGCCAGCCTGGACTACACAGTGAGTTCACAGCTAGCCTGAACCGCACACTGAGACCCTGTCTCAGACAAATAAACAAACAAATAACCCAAAAAGAATAAGTGTTAATATTTTTAAGTGGGCCCAAACACTTTGAAAACTTTATTTTTCCCTTTCAAAAATACCTTCTCTCCTTCTTAGTTACAGTACCAGTTATTTTTGTGGGACAATTGAAAATATAGTAAACGGGAAAATGGACACAGTTAATCATTATCACACACAGAGCTCCCAGCCCTGACTGACACCCGAGCTGGCATCGGGCTGCATACATAGATGTGCATACCCACGGTTGGGATTTTCCACTTCATGTCGATAGTGAGCATTTACCCCCCATTAAACACTGATCTGTGGCACGTCTTAACGTTTCTTGATTTATACACGCAAATATACCAAGGGTTATTGAAAGCAATCTTCTAGGATTTTACTGTTAAAAATAAATGGTAGTAAGAGACTACCTCGTATATCTTACACATATCCCCAATTATTTTCTTAAAGTAAATTGTTAGAATTGAGATCTGAGGCAAAACCTTCTCTTTTTTTCTCTCTAAGTTTACATCATTGTTTAGACAATGTCTTGAATGCTACACATCATGCTAGGTGTACAAAGTCTGCAGGACCTAGACCTTCCACGGCAAAAGCAATGGATTACTCTGAAAATTTGCATTTTAAATACACAGTACATGTTCAAAGTGCAACAGATGAGAACTGCACAAGAAGGAACAGCTAGTCAGCTTGTGCCTGGAGTGCGCTGTGCACCTGGGAGCCTCAGAGCGCAGGGTCGTGCATGACCATGAGCAACCAGCAACAGCTGGTGAGGAGCAGCCATACGTGCAGTGCACACACCTGCGAGGAGGAGAAGCTGCTCCACCTTCTCCAACACAGCGGACGAGCATCCAAGACCACACAAAAGGGTGAGAATTCGAGCCCACCCAGGCACACCACTCGCTGTTGTCTACGGCCATACCACCCTGAACACGTCCAATCTCGTCTGATCTCGGAAGCTAAGCAGGGTTGGGCCTGGTTAGTACTTGGATGGGAGAACACCTAGGAATACCAGGTGCTGTAGGCTTGAGCCAGGCGTGGTGGTGCACGTCTGTAATCCTAGCACTCGGGAGGCTGAGGCAGAAGGATCATTACGAGTTTGAGGCCAGCCTGGGCTACAAAGTGAGCTCAAGGTCAGCCTGAACTGCATAGCAAGACCTTGTCTCAAAAAAAAAAAAAAAAAAAAAAAAAGGGTGAGAAAACTAGTTACCACGTAACAAACAATCATACCACCTACCTCAAAAACAAATTTATTCAAAACAATATGACAAACTACCAGAGGCTACAGATACATATGACATGCGGAACATAAAAGAAGTGCTGCTAACAGACCCACCCAAGTCCTGACGTCGTCCCAGGCATGGAGGACACGGCACCCAGGGTAAAGGAGCAGGATGAGCTTGCTTCCCTGCCCCACTGCAGTCCCACCGGGCAGAGGAAAGTGCTGGCTGGGACACGGCAGGAAGTGGGCTCAGAGGAGGCCCAGGGCGGGCACAGGCGCCCCCGCCAGGAGAGAGGTGCAGGGCAGGAGAGCCACCACCCTTTGGGTTCTCCTTAGGTCCTACGTCCTTAAGAGCTGAAGAGCCCTGAAAACTTCTCTTCCAAAAAATACCACAAACTTTCACACATCCCTCAAAAACCAACACCCCCAGGAGCCTGCACAGAAGGGAGAGCGAGGGGAGGGTGAGCAGTGCTGTCGGCAGACCCTACACAGCACACGGACCCCCGGAGAGCACGGACGTCCCTCACAGATGCACACGCACTCACCACAGATGGACCACAAAGAAAACTGCACGGATTACCCAAAAGCAGAAATGACACAGCCCACATTCTGCACCGGCAATGGCACTAGACATCAACTACAGAGAATGCCCAGCACTGAAACAAGAACCCTGCAAAACAAGCTCACCACCCAAGAAGGCTCCGTAACACAGGTATCGGACAAGCTTTATGTATACAAGCTTTGTGTGCACGTGCGTGCATCTGTGTGTATGTGTGTGTGTGTGTGTGTGTGTGTATGAGAGAGAGAGAGAGAGGGAGAGAGACAGGGTCTCACTTGCTCTCCAGTTTTCCAGTTCAGGCTGGCCTTGAACGGACTTTCTAGCCCAGGAGGGCCTCAAACTCACAGCGATCCTCCTGCCTCAGCCTCCCAAGTGCTGGGATTATAGGCATGCACCACCACATCCATCTGGCAAACTTTTTCAAACAAACTGAAATGGATCCTAATGGAGTATCTACATCAGAAGACTACAGATGGAACAAAGGTCTGAACCCTCAAGAGGCACCAAGAAAGAACACAGGATAGTTTTTCAAGTGCTCTAGCAGTGGTGAAAAACTTCTGTAAGTCCAACAGAAAATCTGAAAACCATTAGAGAAAATATTGACAAATGTCCTTACGCCCCAAGTAAGATTTTCTGCAAAAATACCCCAATTGTAAAAATAAAACCAGCAATGTATATGATTTTTAAAGGATGAGGGATTACTTTTCTTAAAATAAGGTTCACGGAAGTCCATAAAAAAAGTAGAGAAAAAAAAAAAAACGGCAACCCCAGGATCAGATCGAACGTGCTGTCCAAGAGTCGGGGTGCGGGGGGGTGGAAACTGACCCCACGACCAGGCAAGAGCCTGCGTGAATTTGAAAGCTGAAAACCAGACGGAACAACAGTGCTGGGACCTCTCCATCCTGTGATCCCATCGTAGGGAACCAGGCTACTGTCCTATGAGACTAGGGATGACAACCGAAGGCTTCAGTCTGCAGCGAATACCTTGCAGGCTTCAAGGAAGATAAAGGGACAAAGTGACCCCAGTGTGGTACTTGAATTATGGGCCTCACAGTTCTTAGGTCCCACATTACGACTCCACTTTTGCAAATACCAGCAAAGATGATTCCAACTTAACCCATTCAACCTGTGGCGAGACTCTGACCTTCCAAGTGATTTCAGTGTGCATGAGTTTTGGGCAACATGCCGAGATCATCCACATGCTATGGCAGACAGTTCACTGCATGCTCCAGCGAAAGGAGGGCACTCTAGGGCCCTGCCAGAGCTGGAGACGTCATCACCTGAAGATGAAGCCAGACCAGGGCACTTGACACAGCAAAAGAAATGGAGGTTACAGGGGCTGGGGATTTAGCTCAGCGGCACAGCGCCTGCCTGGCAATCGCAAGGTTTTGAGTTGGATTCC